AAAGTCCCTAAATACACAATTCTATCACAGAATTTGAGACACAATTCATCCACCAATCAATCGAAAATTGAAACAAAAATATCCACTACCTGTTGAAACAAAAATAATCGAAAACTGAAGCAAAATAGATGCAATTCATTTCAAATGTAATCCCAATTTTATTTTTCTTTGTCTACTCACTTATTTCTTGAACTATGCGACCACTTATCACTCTACAAGGCAACTTTCACCAAGAAACCTTCCATTCTCACACTCTTCTCTCTAAAATTCAGTCATTTTTCTATATGTAGCTTGAATATAATAGCTTTCGTTACAGAGTTTTGAAGATCATGTTTTGAAGAGGTTCGTGTAAGTTCTTTTGAAATTAAAAGCGGTTTTATTTGGTTCTCGGAATAATTTAGAGTGTGAATTAGCTTGATTCTAATATTTAGTGTATTTTTGGTTGTTGATAAAGAACTGAAACAACAGAGAGATTTGAGGTGAGAATGGAGCAATAATTGTTGAAATGGAAGATAAATGGGAATTTTCGAAGAACCGAGGGAGAGTGGAATGGGAACCGTTTGGGTTGTGAAGTGTGAAGAAGGAAATTAAGAAAATGAGGGTTTTCAATTGGTGAGACAGTTTTACTTCTGTTGAGTGGAAAAAAATTGGTTCTCTCTCTTTAATTAACGGCAAAATGGATGGAACTTGGACGGAAGGACGTTCATCGCAACGAAAGGTTGATTAGAGGGCAAAAATGCCAAAAAATGAAAGATGGGAACGTTTTCCACAATGAAGCTAAAAGGTAGGGACGTTTTGCGCCAATTATCCTAAGAAACAAATGCATGAATCATGGCGATAGGTCCCCTTAGAACGAGCATTATCTTCCTTTCCATATATCACAATGTATTTTGTATCTTAACTCTAGTCCACAAAACTTAATGAATAAACCATATGTTTATTCTAGATCCAAACTTGATATTTCTCCAACAAGGAATAAATACACATAAAAGAATAAGAGAAAATTATCATTATTGAATTAGAATTTCAGAAAATAACATTTTCATATACAACGAAATCAAACTAATGGACCAAGTCCCATACGGTTTACAAGATCCTTGAACTTGAACGATCCTATATCTTTTGTCAAAGGATCAGCAATCATCATTCAGTATTTATGTGCTCAACGACGATTGTTTTATCTTTAACATATTCTCTTATGGCTAAATACTTAATGTCGATATGCTTGCTTCGAATACCATTTTTGTTGTTTTTAACCCAAAAACTGGAGCTGAATTGTTACAATATAATCTCAGTGGCCTAGAAATAGAATTTACGATTCTAAGCCCAGAAATGAAACTCTTCATGCAATGTAGCCTCAAAACATGAAATGAACTCATCCTTTATAGGTGAAGTAGCAGTCAAAGTCTGCTTTGCACTCCTCCATGACGTAGTTCCATCAGCAAACATGAAAATGTATCCAGATGTTGATTTTCTTGAATCAACACAGCTAGCAAAGTCTAAATCAAAGTAGCCGATTACCTCCAAATTATCAGTTCGTCTATACATAAGCTTGAAATCTTTTGTCCCTTGAAGGCACATTAAAATTTTCTTTGTAGCTTTCTAGTAGTCCATACCTGGATTACTCTGATATCTTCCCAACATTCCAATCGCAAATGCAGTGTCAGGCATTGTGTAGACCTGAGCATACATGAGGCTTTCAACAACTGAAGTGTATGGGATGTTCCTCATTTATTCCCTTTCAAAGTCATTCTTTGGGCATTAATTCAAATGAAACATATCAACCTTTACTATGGGATATATACTTGATGAACAATCCTTTATCCGAAATCTTCTAAAACCTTATTGATATAGGTTTCTTGTGACAAACTTAAAATACTCTTATATCTGTTTCTATAGATCTTTATGCGAATGGCATAATATGCACCACCCAAGTCCTTCATGTTAAAATTTTTAGAGAAAATTTGCTTTACCTCATATAGCAAACTCTTATAATTGGCTGTAAGTAAAATATCATCCATATATAGAATAAGAAAACAAATTTTACTCCCATTAACCTTCTGGTATATACATTGATCAATCATGTTTTCTGCAAAACCAAATGAAGATATAACATCATAAAATTGTAAATACCATTGCCGGGAGACTTGTTTTAGTCCATATATAGATTTCTTAAGCTTGCATACTAAATGCTCACCATTATTAGAGAGGAATCCTTCTAGTTGTTTCATATGCATCTCTTCCTCTAGTTTTCCATTGAGCAAAGCCGTTTTCAAATCCATCTATTGTAGCTCAAAGAATGCCAAAAGCATGCAAAGAAAATCTTTCTTGGACACAAGAGAAAAACTCTCATTGTAGTCGATTCCTTCCTTTTGAGTAAATCCTTTGGCTACGAGTCTTGCTTTATATCTTTCAATGTTGGTAGATGAGTTGTTCCTTATTTTAAAAACCCATTTACACCCTATGATCTTTGCACCATTAGGCAACTTAACAAGATCCTAGATCCGTTGAATATCATAGAATTCATTTCATTTCTTATGGCATTATACCATAAATCAGATTCTTTGCAATCTATGGCCTGTGAAAACGTTTCAGGATCATTTTTTACTCCAAAACTATTGTCCAATTCTTCTAGCTAAATGACATAGTCACTTGAAATTGCTAATCTTCTTAATGTCGGTTCAATATTTTCCAGAGGGTCATGTTGTTCAACCATTTCTAGCATTTCTTGAATAACTTGATCTACATAATTATCATTAGCAGATTGTGGAACTTCATCGACCGATTGTACAACACCCGTTTGAACTAGAGGAATGTTGTGGGCAATAACCTTTCTTTTGCTTCATGTGGAAGATTGATCTTGTCCAGAGACCATATTTTGAAATTGATCACTTCCACTAATTAAGTTATTTTCAAGAAACTTTACATTTCTTGATTCCACGGTCTTAATACTGTGAATTGAATAGTAAAATCTTTTATCCTTAGACCTTTCCAATATCTAATGAAGTACCCACTAATAGTCCTTTTGTCCAATTTCTTCTCTTGTGGATATAAGCTCTTACTTCAGATAGGCATCCCCAAAATGCGCATATGTTGCAAACTTGGTTTCCAACCCTTCCATACTTCAAAAGGAGTCTTTGGAACACACATGATTTTTCTTACTTAGAAATGGAAAATTTTTATTCGAAGTGCAAATCATTGATTAATGGAAGGTTTAGACCACACACGATTTTCCTAAATTAGAAATGGAAATTTTTTACGAGTAGATGACACCAAAAATGTCTCGACAATCATTTGTTCTTACAATATGTTTTTCCTATGAGCTGACATTCTTGAAAATATATGTTGCGCTCTTTGAAATTAATATTAAAATTCACAGGGCATATGGATTGGGATGTTGTGTGGGGTGGTCGCAGAGACACTTGCATTAAGCTTCATGACATGGAGAACAAATTGGGATCAAGAGGTAATTTTGGACAAAATTTTAAATCTGAAACGAAGTGAATTAATGTATTTAATAATTTTTCGATAAACAATTTTATTACAGGTATTTAAAGCTTCATTGCGCCTCAAAAAATGGTACTTAAAGTCTTCTGAGGAGATTAATCAAAAGTTTGACCATGCTTGAAGAACAACTATAATTAATTTCTACAAATTATTTGTACCAACTCCAACTCTTTCCATGCTTACTAATTACGAAAACGTGCAATGATCGTGGCTTGTGACAATGTCATAATTTGAAAAATAAAAAATAAAAAAATTTGAAACTTCATAATATCCTTATTAAATTGAGAGTAAATAATCCATTTTCGACCGCGTATTAGTTGCCTGAATCTATATAATTTTAAATTTTGTTCATCTTTCATTAACAATTAATTAAATACTTCTCTTCCTTTAGAGGTTTGCATTCTTTTATTTTTCTCTGAATATAAAACATATATATAAATTTAAATTATGCATGCCATAACTGCTAAGGCGAATGTCAATTGTAAATGTTAGATAATAATTTAAATGTTTTTGTGCAGACATTTATAAGTTCCTAAAATATACTAATTTAAATATATATATTTTATTATATGAGTTGTGATTTCGTCTACAATCACTACGTTTGTAGCACATATCCAAAATCAAGGCTTTTGTTGTTACAAGTATTAAAGTAATGAATTGGGTATCATTTCGACGATCATTGATTATCTGCCTATTTTTACTTTAGTTAAACATATAATTTAAAATGCACAAAATTATTTATTGGACGTCAATTTTAATTATATCTAATTATCTATGAAAATAAGTAATAAAAATAAGCAATCAAATTCTTTAAATTAATCAATCACAAAAGGCACAAGGATTTCGAATCGACCATTATTAACCTACATTAACCATCAATGACCCCGTTTAGAGTTTCAGTTTTGCTAGAAAAATAGGCTCATTGACAGGGTTTTTTGACAAACATATACTTTGCATATTTTCTTTGGCAGTTGAAAAATAAATTAAATAAGAATTGCCAATAAAAAACTGTCAAATCAGATCCTGGAAAAAGGCCCTGTCTCTTAGCCTGTTTCTTTTGCTTGTTCCTTGGAGTTTATTCTTGTTTTATGTTGCAACTGATTTTTTTATATATTAAATTTTTATCTGGAGTTAAATTTAATTAATTCTTTCTCACGATCCAACTCTATTTCTATGAAGAATGTGAATAGAAAAATGCAATAAAAAAAAACTAGAATATCATTAATATGTAGGACATAACATTGTTTACTACGATGTGCTAATTTATACCGAATCTCTCAAAGAAGTATAAATAAAAAAAACATTGTAATGATGATCAAGCATCAAAATGGAATAATAAAATAATAAACAATCAACTGGAAAATAAGAATTAAATAAAAATGAGCAATTAATTAATCAAAGAGTTAATCAATATTTCATTAAAACCCTAGCCACAAAGTGTTTAGTCAATCATATTTCGATCACAAAAATACAAGATAAAAAGTGAATAAATAGTGGTCGCAGAGACACTTGCATTAAGCTTCATGACATGGAGAACAAATTGGGATCAAGAGGTAATTTTGGACAAAATTTTAAATCTGAAACGAAGTGAATTAATGTATTTAATAATTTTTCGATAAACAATTTTATTACAGGTATTTAAAGCTTCATTGCGCCTCAAAAAATGGTACTTAAAGTCTTCTGAGGAGATTAATCAAAAGTTTGACCATGCTTGAAGAACAACTATAATTAATTTCTACAAATTATTTGTACCAACTCCAACTCTTTCCATGCTTACTAATTACGAAAACGTGCAATGATCGTGGCTTGTGACAATGTCATAATTTGAAAAATAAAAAATAAAAAAATTTGAAACTTCATAATATCCTTATTAAATTGAGAGTAAATAATCCATTTTCGACCGCGTATTAGTTGCCTGAATCTATATAATTTTAAATTTTGTTCATCTTTCATTAACAATTAATTAAATACTTCTCTTCCTTTAGAGGTTTGCATTCTTTTATTTTTCTCTGAATATAAAACATATATATAAATTTAAATTATGCATGCCATAACTGCTAAGGCGAATGTCAATTGTAAATGTTAGATAATAATTTAAATGTTTTTGTGCAGACATTTATAAGTTCCTAAAATATACTAATTTAAATATATATATTTTATTATATGAGTTGTGATTTCGTCTACAATCACTACGTTTGTAGCACATATCCAAAATCAAGGCTTTTGTTGTTACAAGTATTAAAGTAATGAATTGGGTATCATTTCGACGATCATTGATTATCTGCCTATTTTTACTTTAGTTAAACATATAATTTAAAATGCACAAAATTATTTATTGGACGTCAATTTTAATTATATCTAATTATCTATGAAAATAAGTAATAAAAATAAGCAATCAAATTCTTTAAATTAATCAATCACAAAAGGCACAAGGATTTCGAATCGACCATTATTAACCTACATTAACCATCAATGACCCCGTTTAGAGTTTCAGTTTTGCTAGAAAAATAGGCTCATTGACAGGGTTTTTTGACAAACATATACTTTGCATATTTTCTTTGGCAGTTGAAAAATAAATTAAATAAGAATTGCCAATAAAAAACTGTCAAATCAGATCCTGGAAAAAGGCCCTGTCTCTTAGCCTGTTTCTTTTGCTTGTTCCTTGGAGTTTATTCTTGTTTTATGTTGCAACTGATTTTTTTATATATTAAATTTTTATCTGGAGTTAAATTTAATTAATTCTTTCTCACGATCCAACTCTATTTCTATGAAGAATGTGAATAGAAAAATGCAATAAAAAAAAACTAGAATATCATTAATATGTAGGACATAACATTGTTTACTACGATGTGCTAATTTATACCGAATCTCTCAAAGAAGTATAAATAAAAAAAACATTGTAATGATGATCAAGCATCAAAATGGAATAATAAAATAATAAACAATCAACTGGAAAATAAGAATTAAATAAAAATGAGCAATTAATTAATCAAAGAGTTAATCAATATTTCATTAAAACCCTAGCCACAAAGTGTTTAGTCAATCATATTTCGATCACAAAAATACAAGATAAAAAGTGAATAAATAAGTCGGATAATTTAGTATAAACATTGATACAATTTTTAATCTTGAATCTCTTCAATTCAAAATCATTCAGTCTTCAAGAATTTTGTGTAATTTTGCTCCCAAGAATTTGAAGTTTATAATATTGATTTCCTCTACTATAATCCTCCATTTTGTGGTATGAATTTTCCCTTCTTTTTACTAGAATCGCTCTTTATATATCCATCAAGATGCTTTGAAAGTCGCATAAGAAGTATGTACCCTAAATGCTCTTGAATTAGAAAACAAAAATCGCATTCCTTTTGCTGGGCAAATGTGATCAGCAAGCAAAATTTTCCTTTGGTTTCCTCCAAGATTAGCCGCCCCATGAATTTAGGCTGTTCTCTTCCCAAATTACCAAATTGTTATTTCTATGCGCTTCAGTATCTAATTATTGTTTATGTGCAGTCTTAGACCTTGGGCTTCAAACATTAATAATTTATTTTGCGTTAAACTTTAAGGGTACTTTTGATTGTCAATATTTTTCAAGAAAAATGTGCTCTTCCACCCATATTCTTACTTTTGTATTATTTGATTGCCATTTTTTCTATGGAAAATATTTCCATGCTTTTCCTCAAAATCAAGGAAAATATTTTCTTTGAAAGGGGGTAGGATTTTATTTTCCAGAGAATTTACTCTCTTTCTCACTTTCATTTATCCACTCTCTCATCTATCGACCAATAAAAAATGAACAAGTATAATATTTTATAAGTTGAAAATTAAATCAATCAAATACATTTAGTTGATAGTTTCCATGCAAATAAGTTGTAGATTTATTTTTTTCCATACAAATTTCATGCTTGCAATCAAACATACCCTAAATTCAATTATCTTTTTAATGCTATATCATTTTCCCTGAGAACATAAATTTGTATCAAAATTCCTACTAATTTCCTCACATGATCTATACGTGCATTTCTCAATTCACATCTTTTGGTCCTTTTATGCTCCAAATAACTTCCTTTTGCATCATTAATCTTCGAATTTGAGATTTAAACTATAGATACGATATATAATTTAAATGAAGTGAGAATCCAACAAAAAAAAAAATCAAATATTAAGTGAATTTAAAAGCCTAGATAAGCACGTCAAATACACTAAAAAAAATTTCAAACTGACATTTTTGTTCGTCCAAAGTATCACTGTCTACTTAACTACATAAACGCATGCCAAAAAATAAATAAATAAATAAATGGAGGACTCACTTCACTGCTGATAGCTCAAAACAAAGATTTCACATTCAAATTTGAACAGTTTATAATGAGTTTTCGAATAATGCCATAAAAAAGAAATAACTTATTCGATGCTTGACCAATGTGTTCATTGATAGCCAGCTCTGTTTATCATTTAAGTCATGTTGGATAATTACTTACTCACCCAAGTTCAATAGAATCCAATCAATAAAAGCAACAAATTAGATACATGAACATTTTTCATAGTTTTGAATGCCCTAGTATTCAAACTTCCACTAAGCGGTCAAACCCACTAGTTATCTAGATCCACAAATTTAGTATCCAATATTTAGTTAAGCTGATGCGAATCCACATAGCAATAGTAGCTATAAACTCACACAAGATTAATTCAACCCAAAAAAACCAAGAAATTACAATTTAGAGTTTGATCCAAAAATATTGAACCAAAGAATCAACATAATTGCTGATAATATGTTGATCCCGTGATCATAAAACTCAAGAATCTCACCAAGATTATTTGAACGCCACAAAAAAAATCTTGGTAAGTGCGGAATTAGTTCAATGATGAACAAGAATTGAAAGCAAAAATATGCTCACAAATTGAACTCTCATTTGTAAATATGAATAATGTTGTTTCAATGAAAATAATGAGCTCTATTTATAAAGAACTCATAAAACCCTAGTTGAAACGAAATAGAATCTTAAAGATTACAAAAGATACCAAAAATAGTGTTTTAACATAAATAGGAGATTTTCGCAAATTTCGAAAATTCGCGCACAACTTTACTCTGTGCGGCCGCATAGTACAAGTCTATGTTGTCGCATAGACCACTTCAATTCCTCTAGCTGAATTTCTACAAGGAGCTATGCAGACACATAGCTTGGTAAACTATGTGGCCGCATAGACCACTTCAATTCCTCCAACTGAATTTCTGCAAAGAGCTATGCGATCGCATAGCTTGGTTAACTATGCAGCCGCATAGTTAACTCGGCCAACTCCTTCATCCATTACTTGAATTACGTTAAACCATCTTGTTTCTGCCTTCAAAACTAGCATGAAACTTGTCTTTTTGCTTACCACGATCAACATTTCGCCCATCATGGCGTGAGCAAGTAATTTTATCGCTTCTTTAACCCTCTTTGCTAGTGATCTAGTTATGGGCCATTCCTTCAAATCTACGGGTCTTTGCCCGAATTTGCCTTCGTACCATGGTTCACTCCTCTCTCTTTTCGAAAGGATTCGACCTCGAATATGTACCTGTATTCAAGAGAGAAAAATCAAAAACATTAAAAGTGGTCGAAACATTATAATCACCATGAAGATCTAGTTTGTATGCGTTGTCATTAATCCTTTCAAGGACTTGAAATTGACCATCTCCCCGTGGATGCAACTCCAAAATTTCCTTTATTTTGGAAAGTATTCTTTTCGTAAGTATAACCAAACCCAATCCTTGGGTTCAAATGTAACGCTTTTCCTTCCATGTTTGCTTAAAAAGCATAGTGTTTGTTCTTCTTCTCAATTTGCAATCTTACCTTTTCGTAGACTGATTTCATCAAGTCGCCCTTCTTCTTCCTATCTAAGCTACATCTTTTATCAATAGGTAAATGAATTAAATCCAAAGGTGTTAGTGAATTAAAGTCATATACAATTTTAAAAGACGAACAAGAATTAGTAGAATGCGTGGTCATTATATACAAATACATTGAGTGGTAAGCACTCCTCCTAACTCTTCAAGTTCTTATTAAATATAGTGAATAACAATTGTATCATGGTCCTATTAACAACCTCAATTTGGTCATTGGTTTGTAGATAACAAGTAGTAGAAAACAATAACTTAGTGCCTAACTTATTCCACAAAATCCTTCAAAAGTGATTAAGAAATTTAACATCCCTATCTAATACAATGCTCCTAGAAATCCCATGTAAGCGCACTACTTCCTTAAAGAATAGATACATTATAATAATGGCATCATCAGCTTTATGATATGGAAGAAATGTGTCATCTTACTAAATCTATCTACCACCACAACTATGGAATCTTTTCCTTTCTTAGTCCTAGGTAAATCCAATACGAAATTCATGGATATGTCAACTCAAGGTTCACTAGGAATAGGTAATTGTGTATACAAACATTGAGGTAAAATCTTAGACTTAGCCTTTTACATGGGATGCATCTATTACAAATCCGATTAACATCAATTTTCATCTTAAGCCAATAAAAATGTTCACCTAACATCTATAAGGCCTTCTTAACACCAAAATGTCTCATTAAGCCTCCACTATGTGCTTCTCTTGTTAACAATTCTCTCATCGAACATTTAAGAACACGTAACTTGTTTTCCCAAAATAAATACTCATCATGCTTAAAGAATTTATCTATAGTCCCTTTATCATATGATTCGTATATACTAGAAAAATTCGGGTTATTAGTATACATGTCCTTAACATATTTAAATCCCAGCAATTTAGCACTTAAGGACATACACTCGTGACAAAGCATCTGCTGCCACGTTTTCTTTACTTTGTTTATACCGAATGACGTACGAAAACGTCTCAATGAATTCAATCCACCTTACATGCTTCTTAATTAGCTTACCTTGACCCCCCTCAAATGCTTTAAAGACTCATTGAACTTCTTTGGCCATAGATAGTACTGTCATGTGCCAACGCTCGAGCAAGTGCATACAATTTCTTGTCATTTGTATGATAACTGAGAGTTGCTCCACTTAGCTTTTCACTAAAGTAAGCTATCAACTTTTTATTATGCATTAAAACAACACCAATACATATACCTGAGGCATCACATTCAATATCAAAAGTTTTGTCAAAATTAGGAAGTGCTAAAACTAGTGTTTTACATAACATATCATTAATAGTGTTAAATGCATGCTCTTTGTCAACGCCCCATTGAAATTCGAGACCTTTTTCGACAACTTCCATGAATGGTGTGGCAATTGTGCTAAAGTCTTTAACAAAATGCCTGTAGAAACTAGCCAAGTCGTAAAAGCCTCTTATCTCAGTTATGTTGGCTATTCCTTAATAGCCTTGATTTTTTCCTCATCAACTTCTATTCCCTTGGCACTAATAAAGTATTCAAGAAAAATAACTTTTTCCATTCAAAATGTACACTTTCTAAAATTAGCATAAAATTGTTATTGTCTTAAGGCCACAAGCACACATCTTAAATGCTTTATATGCTCATCAAAGTCTTTAATATATACCAAAATGTTATTGAAGCAAACTACTACAAATTTACCTATGAATGCATCAAAACATGATTCATTAATCACACAAATGTGTTAAGTGCATTAGTAAGTCCAAATGGCGTAACTAACCACTCATACGATCCATATTGAGTTTTAAAAGTGATTTTTCACTCATCTCCTTCCCTCATCCTAATTTGGTGATAACCATTTTTAAGATCGATTTTACGCATGAGCCATGTAATTCATCTAACATATCACCTAACCCCAGAATAGAATGATGATACTTTACCATTACAGCATCGAATGTACTCCCATGTATAAAAACTTGCTCTTGATAGTCCGACAATCCACACACATCTTCCAGGTTCCATTTTTTTTAGCACAAGTAGCACTGACACGATATATGGACTCATACTCTTCCTCACATATCATTTGCTCATCAATTCCTCCACCTTTAAAGCTCCTTGTTCCCCTCAAGATTACTTCGGTTGACCTATTTGGAATGACAGCTCCGTGTACGAAATCAATTTGATATTCAATACTTTGAATGGGTGGTAACCCACTAGACATTCTTCCAGGAACACACTTCAAAGTCTTGCAATAAAGAAGTAGCCAATGGTGTGTTAGGTTCCTCAGGATTGAGAAGTGGCTCATTATAAACCAACAGGATCGTTGGTTGCTTCTCAACTATTACCCTCTTCAACTCACTTCCTTTTGCAAAGAAGTTCACTCTCGACTTTTCTCTCCTCTTGGGAGACTCTTTTTCTTTTCTATCTTGTGGCTTTACTCTTTTGTTTTTACTACCAATCGCCTCTTTGTTTTCTCTCTTGCTCTCTATTTTTCTCAATCTTTTTTCATCCTCTTAGATGTCACAACTTGATCCCACCAAGTATAGCATATCGGTAAACTCAAGCACCGCAATATTTACCTTCTTATCCTTCGAGGAGCTGTGGCAATCAAATATCAACTCTATCTTCTTCTCCCACTCTAAGTATGTCTCCGGACTACTCTTTCCTTTGAATGAAGGAATTATCATTTTGATATTGCCCATACTTCTATCAACTCCATTTCCAATAGTTTCTATACCCCTCATTTTATGCCTAACTCATCTATCCCTCATTCTTCCTAACTCTTTTCTTCCTCATCAATATCACTATCGGCTTCATGTTCATCACGAACCTCCATCCTACGCTCCAGCCTGCCTTACCTCCTTGCATTGGAAACTCTTCTAGGTTGTTTCCTATGTACATTAGCAAACAATGGGGTCTTGTTTCTCCATCCACACCTCTTGCTTATCCAACCTATCTCTCACATCTTTGAACATCGCGAACTGTCGCATAACCTCATTTGACTTGATTATGATTTTCGCTTGACATAGGTTCGTCTCTGTTAGGCATCGTAAATCTAAAATAATATTTGCCTCACGTGTATATGCTCATGTATCACTCAAGTTTGGCTCTATTAGTCTCACCACTCCTGCCTTTATCCACTCAATGCTTTTGCCCAATTGCTTTAAAGAACTAATTCGATCTCAACCAAGTTTTATCGTTGAAGAATTCAAACTAGGATGTGAGTGAGTTATTATAACTTAGAATACTCAAGGAAGGAAAGAAAAGAAGTAAAGGAATTTGACACTTTGAATGAGAACAAATATTAATTCAAGAAAAGTGGTTTTTAAATTTTGATTTGACACTCCTTTTCTAACTCAAAGAAAATAAAATTATATACTGCTAGTAATTTCTAGATTTTTTTTGCTTGAAAATTCAACTACGATACCAGTAAAAGAAACAGATTTTGATTTGGGTGTTAAATGAGCACATAAACAACTTTTAATTTATTTTATTTTTTTGGTATATTTATGGACTCAAAAGACGAAGAACACGAAGAAGAAAAACAAAACAAGACAAAAGACTCAAATAAAAAGAAAAATGATATAACCTTGATTTTTGGACCCTAAGCTCTGGTACCGACTGGTGTGAACCTACGAAGCAATGGTAGCTGTGAAATCCACACAAGATTGATTCAACTAGGGAAAGTCAAGAAATCAAAGCTTACAGTTTGATAAAATATATTGAACTAAAGAACCAACACAATCGCCGACAATATATTGACCTCGTAATCACAAAACTCAAGAATCTCACCCGAATTGTTTGAATGCCACAAGAAACAAATCTCGATAAATTCAGAATTAGTTCAACGAAGAATAAGAATCGAAAGTAAAAATATGCTCATAAATTAATCTCTCGATTGTATATATGAATAAAGTTGTTCTAATGAAAATAATGAGTTCTATTTATAAAGAACTCATAAAACCCTAGTTGAAACGAAATAGAATCCTAAAAATTACAAAAGATGCCAACAAATAGTGTTTTAACATAAATAGGATACTTTCACGAATTTGGAACATTCGAGCACTTTACTTTATGCAACGGCATAGTACAAGTCTATGTGTTTGCATAGACCACTTCAATTCCTCGAGCTGAATTTCTGCAACAAGTTATACAGTCGCATAGCTTGCTTAACTCGACCAGCCTCTCCGTCCATTACTTTAATCACGTTAAACCATCTTGTTTCTTCCTTTGAGCCAAACATGAAACTTGATTCTTTGCTTGCCATGATCAATTTTTCATCCACTGCAACTTGAGCAAGTAATCTCATCGCTTCTTTAACCCTCTTTGCTTGCTATCTAGTCATCGGCCCTTCTTCAACAATCAACGGGTCCTTGCTCTAACTTGTTTTTGTGCCTTGGATCATATCATAAGCTATGTGCATCTTCTGTTTCATGCTCGTTTTTATACTTGTTTCAAACATACTTTATTTGTCTTTTTGTTTCATTGGAATTTATTCATTTGATGTACTCTAAAAGATCTTTTAGAGAGTATCCTGGTAACATGGCTATTTTTCCCCCCTTTTGCTATGACTAAAGTAATAACTTTTGAGGATGAGTAGTTGGTATTAAATCCCCAGCATACCTAGTTTTCACATGTTACTTAAAATCACTCTACACAAATAATCATTCACGGATTTAACACATATCTAACTAATCACATTTATCAATTCTATCACCCATGAACTGTTATTGCACGTTGGTTAAGTGAGTAAAGTTTAGAATAGACTTGTAGGACAAAATTGCAACATAGTGCTACCAACTCAAACAATTCAATCTAGTACATGAAAGTTTTCAAACCTAAATAACAATTAAAAGTGCATGTGCTCAATGATATGGTCTTAAATGGATAAGAATTATGTTTACAAATAAGCACAAGTAGCATAGTCTAATCACAAGTCATGAATTAATCATAATTTCACGTACATATAATCATTATTAGGCGATAGGGCAATCTAATTGACACACAAGCAAGCAATCATCTAAAGAGAATTAAAAATAATAATAATAATTTTTATTTTTGTAATATTTAATTTTTTTTGAATTTTCTTTTAAAATTTAATCTTTTTTATTTTTTATTTTCACTATATCCATAATAAGACTGAATATTTAACAATTTAAGTACAATGCATAAATAAGAAAAACAAATATAGTAAGAATAATACACACCACCACAAAACTTGATCAACACATTTCCCTTGATGTGTAAACGAACAAAACAAAAAGAGAGAGAATATTGTACATCCTAGATGTCTTCAATGCTGTGATCACTTTATGCAGTGGAGGTGGATGGAAGTCCTACTATAGGAACAATCGAGCAAATTAGCCCGTTAATGCCTCGTGCTCCTATCACCTAACGATTGCATTAGTTTTATGCCATTTGATGTACTCCTTGTGCTGCCTCTGGCGAGCTTGTGCCTCGATATTCTACATAAGAAAATGTTCATGTTGCAATCAATGAGCCAGTGCCTTAACTGCTTGAGTATCTTTTACTTTATGCAATGTAGTGCGAAACTCTTCCAATTATCCATCTATTAAATTTTGAATATTTTGTAAATGGAACCATTCAATTCCATGTAATTTTTGGTATCAGACCAGAACTATTGGTTTGATTTCAGTTCTACTATAAGTGTAGCAAAAAGATAGTAATCAATTCTTTTCATTAGTTCATTCAATCGTTTAAATTTTTAAACAAATGGAACACCTTTGCTCCATGTTCATTTTGGCCCTTGAATTCCTCCTTTTGTTTAGCTTGAGTCCCCTCTTATATGCATCATGGATCCTTTATCTTTAGATCTTTATATTTTGATCCTCCTAGTTCCATAATTATCCGTAATTAAGTCTCTAAACTTTTTCGAATGTCGTATTTAGCTCCCAAAACTCTTGAATCTCTTTCGATTTCTCTATTTGCTCTTCTAATTGATCGTATGTAATTGGTAGATCTTCAATTGTTTCGAATCAACTTTAATTGAGTTCACAATCATATTTTTTTACGTCAAATGCATACTAGGTAAATATTCACTCAATAGTCTATAAATAATCAAGTTTAAAAACACGAATAAGTGTATTTTTCACTTATCATTTGCCTTCATTAAATATATGAGATCTCACTTCTCATATTTTTGCAAAGAATTGATGTTTTCCCTACTTGAGAAAATTTATATATCGTTTATATGTACTTTGTGCACTTTATTGGTATACGTGAGTGCACATAGCTTTACTATTTCTACACTGATATAGCTTTTCCATGTGTTTGCTATCACCTGCTAAGAATTATAAATGTGTGATTCGGGAGCTTTAGGTACAAACAAATGCTAATTTAAAATTTTTATGTATTTTGCTATTTCCAACTTTTTTGTGGGAACATTTTGTAATTTTTGAATTTTGAATTTTATTGTGGTTTAGTTTTTTCAACTTGCAATGTCAATGTAGTGTTCTTCAATACATTTTGCACAACACCCATGGTGATGTTTGTTGGATCAATTGTACATGAGCACATAGTGATGTATGTTGAAAACTTTAATTGTGAGATGGTTGAAATATTTTATTATTTTTTTTTTAGGCTAGTCATTGAACAATTGTCATATCATGCCTTCAAAACATGAGTACAGAACTCAAAATGAATAAATGAATGTGAAAAACAATAACAATGTGAATAAATCAATTGAGAATGAGGAAATGAATGAACTTGCCAATGTAAATGAATTGAATTGCTACAGATGAAGTGAAACAAATGGCAAGTAAAATGAGAATTAAAGATGTATTTCTGCAACATTTTATGATTTGAAAAAGGAAGAAGACTGATGGAAGTGAACAACTAGCGTAAGGATCTTTATAGTTGATTACTTCCTCTTTATCATTGATGTAGCTTGATCTTCACTTAAAACTAGATTTAAATAATTTAAATGTTATGAAGAGACCTTTGAGTTTTGTTTTAATCTAGAGAGGATATATTATGCTATGGAAGTTTGTTGAAATCTTAAGTAGTATTTGAAACATAATGGACATTCGAATATTAACGTAGATAAATTATGTTTAGAGTTGACAATCTTGAGCTATAATTTATCAAGTGAACATGGAGAGCAATTAATATACTAAAATATTTGAAGACATGTGATGGTTGTTTTTCAAATGCCTATATTGCTTTCAAATTCTACTAGCCATACATATTACAGTTGCATCTGTAGAAAAATGTTTTTTCAAGTTGAAGTTGATCAAGATTTATCTTCGATCAACTATATTATATGGAAGCTTGAATGGATTAGTAATATTATCAATTAAGAAAGATATGGTTGAACAACTAGATTGTTCAATTTGACTAATATTTTTGCCTATAAAACCAAGTGCTTAAGTGATCATTTGAAAAAATTTCACCTTGTTATTTAATAATAATAATAACAATAATATTTGATAAGTATATTTTATTTGTCGTTTTAGTGTTGAGATTTAAATTAATAGTCAGTTCTGTAAAACTCTTATGGATACAAAATGTTGAATGCATCCTATAATTGAGGATCCATTAGGGCCAATTTATGAAGTTAGCCTTATTAAGGTAGAGAGGAGAGGTATTTGGCGGCGCCAAAGGAAATTTTGTCATGGAATTTTTTGAAATTTACATACCCTAAAAATCGTAAAGAAAAGTTGTAGAAGAGCGAAAAGGGAGAGGGGGGAAGGAAATTCGGAAACGAATGTAAGGAAAAGGTGAAAAAGAAAAAAGAAATTAAAACAGTCAGATTTTTTGACATAACGGGCCTACATTACACAAATCAATAATTAAGTGGTTTAAATATTGAAACTAGAAAATTTTCTCCTAATCTACATGATTTAGCACCAACAGTGTACCGGTGTTACAACACCGATTTAGGTGATCAAAAAAGAGATTAAATGATAAATATAGTTAAATAAGTAACATAATTTACCTTTAATTCAATTTATTATACAATGTTATCTAAACTAATATTCTAACGGACTTTGCTACACGTACATTGACGTGTACATAAGTGCGTCCATTATGGATACCCTTATGTACATGCCAATGTACAACAAGAATAATCATATTCTAACATCATTGGTGTTTGGCAACATTATTCAATCTACATTTGCAACTACGAGGAAATAATGATGGACCAAATTATTGGTATAATTATTAGTGATGGCAATAGGGCCACCCTCGCCCACCCTGCCTTAGACAGGGCAGTCGCAAGATAGTGGCTTGCCCCATTTGTCAACCTATTTATTTTTATTTTTATTATTATTTTATTATTCTTTATTTTTAACTTCATAGGACGCCACAGGGCGGAGAGTTACGCCCCCCTCTGCCAACCCGTCGGGGCGGGGAAACTTGCCATCCATTAATTATATATGAATTGGGTCGAATCTATGGGCTTATGATGACTGACCAGTCAAATGTTTGGTTTAGGCCCAACAAACCCAATCCAGATTCCACCTTACGCCGCGTTCGACATTCTATGACAATATAATTCCTAAATTCAAAACACTAAAACCCTAATTGATAGCCTCCTAATTGGTAACCTTCTTCCAATGGCCAGGAAACGAAAAGCCGCTTCCTCTCAACAATCGCAAGTACAAAAACCCAAAGTTGTGGCAGTAGTACCAGAAGAAGTGGAAGAGGAGGAAGAAGAAACCTCTGAAGAAGAATCAGAAGAAGAGGAATCGGAAGAAGAGGAGGAAGAAGAGTCCTCATCCGAAGAGGAAGAAGAAGAGTCCTCATCGGAAGAGGAAGAAGAAAATGATGAGGAATCAAAACGGGCCACCATCCGAGAGCTATTAGAACCCTTTGGAAAAGACCAAGTAATAGACCTCCTTAAAGAGGCGGCTACGAAGGACACCGTGCTTTTTGACAAGATTGTCCAAGTAGCCGACTCTGACCCGACCCACCGGAAAATATTTGTCCATGGGATCGGCTGGGATGCCACCTCCGACCAGCTCCTCATGGCCTTCAAGCCCTTTGGAGAAATTGAGGACAGCAAGCTAATTACAGATAAGAATACGGGTAGGGCAAAGGGCTATGCATTTGTTCTCTTCAAGACCCGGGCAGCTGCTAAGAAGGCATTGAAAGTTCCCCAGAAAAAAATTGGGAACCGGATGGTATCATGCCAATTGGCTTCAGCGGGTCCTACGACCCCAACTCAGTCATCGGAGCCCAGTAGCTGGAAGGTTTTTGTGGGGAATGTGGGGCCCAATGTGAATGCGGAGAAGCTTAAGGAGTTTTTTAGGAAGTTCGGAGAGATTGAAGAAGGGCCAATAGGGCTTGATCCTGCAACTAATAAGTTTAGAGGGTTTGCGGTTATTACATACAAGTCAGTTGAAGGGTATAAAAAGGCATTGGAGGAGCCGTTTAAAGTGCTTGAGAACTGCCATTTGCAATGAAGATCTAGTTTTTCTGCGTTGTCATTAATCCTTTCAAGGACTTGAAATTGACCATCGCCCCGTGGATGCAACTCCAAAATTTCCTTTATCTTGGAAAGTATTCTTTTCGTAAGTATAACCAAACCCAATCCTCGGGTTCAAATGTAACACTTTTCCTTCCATGTTTGCTTAAAAAGCAAAGTGTTTGTTCTTCTTCTCAATTTGCAATCTTACCTTTTCGTAGACTAATTTCATCAAGTCGCCCTTCTTCTTCCTATCTAAGCTACATCTTTCATTAATAGGTAAATGAATTAAATCCAAAGGTGTTAGTGGATTAAAATCATATACAATTTTAAAAGACGAACAAGAATTAGTAGAATGCGTGGTCATATTATATACAAATACATTGAGTGGTAAGCACTCCTCCTAACTCTTCAAGTTCTTATTAAATATAGTACATAACAATTGTATCATGGTCCTATTAGCAACCTCAATTTGGCCATTGGTTTGTGGATAACAAGTAGTAGAAAACAATAACTTAGTGCCTAACTTATTCCACAAAATCCTTCAAAAGTGATTAAGAAATTTAACATCCCTATCTAATACAATGCTCCTAGAAATCCCATGTAAGCGCACTACTTCCTTAAAGAATAGATACATTATAATAATGGCATCATCAGCTTTATGATATGGAAGAAATGTGTCATCTTACTAAATCTATTTACCACCACAAATATGGAATCTTTTCCTTTCTTAGTCCTAGGTAAATCCAATACGAAATCCAGGGATATGTCAACTCAAGGTTCACTAGAAATAGGTAATGGTGTATACAAGCATTGAGGTAAAATCTTAGACTTAGCCTTTTACAAGGGATGCATCTATTACAAATCCGATTAACATCAATTTTCATCTTAAGCCAATAAAAATGTTCACCTAACATCTATAAGGCCTTCTTAACACCAAAATGTCTCATTAAGCCTCCACTATGTGCTTCTCTTATTAACAATTCTCTCATCAAACATTTAAGAACACGTAACTTGTTTTCCCAAAATAAATACTCATCATGCTTAAAGAATTTATCTATAGTCCATTTATCATATGATTCGTATATACTAGAAAAATTCGGGTTATTATTATACATGTCCTTAACATATTTAAATCCCAGAAATTTAGCACTTAAGGAAGTTAGAAGTACATACACTCGTGACAAAGCATCTGCTACCACATTTTCATTACCTTGTTTATACCGAATGACGTATGAAAAGGTCTCGATGAATTCAATCCACCTTACATGCTTCTTAATTAGCTTACCTTACCCCCTCAAATGCTTTAAAGACTCATTGAACTTCTTTGGCCATAGATAGTACTGTCATGTTTCCGACGCTCGAGCAAGTGCATACAATTTCTTGTCATTTGTGGGATAACTGAGAGTTGCTCCACTTAGCTTTTCACTAAAGTAAGCTATTAACCTTTTATCGTGCATTAAAACAACACCAATACATATACCTAAGGCATCACATTCAATATCAAACGTTTGTCAAAATTAGGAAGTGCTAAAACTAATACTTTACATAACATATCATTAATAGTGTTAAATGCATGCTCATGTTGAACGCCCCCATTGAAATTCGAGACCTTTTTTGACAACTTCCATGAATGGTGTGGCAATGGTGCTAAAGTCTTTAACAAAATGCCTGTAGAAACTAGCCAAGTCGTAAAAGCTTCTTACCTCAGTTATGTTGGCTATTCCTTAATAGCCTTGACTTTTTCCTTATCAACTTCGTACCTCAGTTATGCTTTTAGGTATTCACCATTCCTTGATAGCCTTGATTTTTTCCTCATCAACGTCTATTCCCTTGGCACTAATAAAGTATTCAAGAAAAATAACTTTTTCCATGCAAAATGTACACTTTCTAAAATTAGCATAAAATTGTTATTGTCTTAAGGCCACAAGCACACATCTTAAATGCTTTATATGCTCATCAAAGTCTGTAATATATACCAAAATGTTATTGAAGCAAACTACTACAAATTTACCTATGAATGCATGCAAAACATGATTCATTAATCACACATATGTGTTAAGTGCATTGGTAAGTCCAAATGGCGTAACTAACCACTCATACGATCCATATTGAGTTTTAAAAGTGATTTTTCATTCATCTCCTTCCCTCATCCTAATTTGGTGATAACCATTTTTAAGATCGATTTTATGCGTAAGCCATGTAATTCATCTAACATATCACCTAACACCAGAATAGAATGATGATACTTTACCGTTACAACATCGAATGTACTCCCATGTATAAAAACTTGCTCTTGATGGTCCAACAATCCACACAAATATTCCAGGTTCCATTTTTTTTAGCACAAGTAGCACTGACACAATATATAGACTCATACTCTTCCTCACATATCATTTGCTCATCAATTCCTCCGCCTTTGAAGCTCCTTGGTCTCCTCAAGATTACTTCGGTCGGCCTATTTGGAATGACAGCTCCATGTATGAAATCAATTTGATATTCAATACTTTGAATGGGTGGTAACCCACTAGACATTCTTCCAGGAACACGCTTCAAATTCTTGCAATAAAGAAGTAGCCAATGGTGTGTTAGGTTCCTCAGGATTGAGAAGTGGCTACTTATAAACCAACAGGATCGTTGGTTGCTTCTCAACTATTACCCTCTTCAACTCACTCCCTTTTGCAAAGAAGTTCACTATCGACTTCTCTCTCCTCTTGGGAGACTCTTTTTCTTTTCTATCTTGTGGCTTTACTCTTTTGTTTTTACTACCAATCGCCTCCTTATTTTCTCTCTTGCTCTCTATTTCTCTCAATCTTTTTTCATCCTCTTAGATGTTACAACTTGATCCCACCAAGCAATAGCATAATCGGTAAACTCAAGCACCACAATATTTACCTTCTTATCCTTCGAGTAGCTATGGCAATCAAATATCAACTCTATCTTCTTCTCCCACTCTAAGTATGTCTTCGGACTACTCTTTCCTTTGAATGAAGGAATTATCATTTTGATATTGCCCATACTTCAATCAACTCCATTTCCAATAGTTTCTATACCCCTCATTTGATGCCTAACTCATCTATCACTCATTCTTCTTAACTCTTTTCTTCCTCATCAATATCACTATCGGCTTCATGTTCATCACGAACCTCCATCCTACGCTCCTGCCTACCTTACCTCCTTGCATTGGAAACTCTTCGAGGTTGTTTCCTATGTACATTAGCAAACAATGGGGTCTTGTTTCTCCATCCACACCTCTTACTTATCCAACATGTCTCTCACATCTTTGAACATCGTGAACTGTCGCATAACCTCATTTGACTTGATTATGATTTTCGCTTGACGTAGGTTCGTCTCTGTTAGGCATCGTAAATCTAAAATAATATTTGCCTCACGTGTATATGCTCATGTATCACTCAAGTTTAGCTCTATTAGTCTCACCACTCCTGCCTTTATCCACTCAATGCTTTTGCTCAATTGCTTGAAAGAACTAATTCGATCTCAACCAAGTTTTATCGTTGAAGAATTCAAACTAGGATGTGAGTGAGTTATTGTAACTTAGAATACTCAAGGAAGGAAAGAAAAGAAGTAAAGGAATTTGATACTTTGAATGAGAACAAATATTAATTCAAGAAAAGTGGTTTTTGAATTTTGATTGGACACTCCTTTTCTGACTCAAGGAAAATAAAATTATATGCTGCTAGTAATTTCTAGATTTTTTTGCTTGAAAATTCAACTACGATACCAGTAAAAGAAACAGATTTTGATTTGGGTGTTAAATGAGCACATAAACAACTTTTAAAATTTTTTGGGTACATTTATGGACTCATGTACCCAAAAGACGAAGAACGCAAAGAAGGAAAACAAAACAAGACAAAAGACTCAAATAAAAAGAAAAATGATATAACCTTGATTTTTGGAGCCTAAGCTCTGGTACCGACTGATGTGAACCTACGAAGCAATGGTAGTTGTGAAATCCTCACAAGATTGATTCAACTCGGGAAAGTCAAGAAATCAAAGCTTATAGTTTGATAAAATATATTGAACTAAAGAACCAACACAATCGCCGACAATATATTGACCTTGTAATCACAAAACTCAAGAATCTCACCCGGATTGTTTGAATGCCACAAGAAACAAATCTCAATAAATTCAGAATTAGTTCAACAAAGAATAAGAATCGAAAGTAAAAATATGCTCATAAATTAATCTCTCAATTGTATATATGAATAAAGTTGTTCTAATGAAAATAATGAGTTCTATTTATAAAGAACTCATAAAACCCTAGTTGAAACAAAATAGAATCCTAAAAATTACAAAAGATGCCAACAAATAGTGTTTTAACATAAATAGGATATTTTCACGAATTTGGAACATTCGAGCACTTTAATTTATGCAACCGCATAGTACAAGTCTATGTGTTTGCATAGACCACTTCAATTCCTCCAGCTGAATTTCTGCAACAAGTTATGCAGTCGCATAGCTTGGTTAACTCGACCAGCCTCTCCGTCCATTACTTGAATCACGTTAAATCATCTTGTTTCTTCCTTTAAGCCAAACATGAAACTTGATTCTTTGCTTGCCATGATCAATTTTTCATCCACTGCAACTTGAGCAAGTAATCTCATCGCGTCTTTAACCCTATTTGCTTGCGATCTAGTCATCGGTCCTTCTTCAACAATCAACGGGTCCTTGCTCTAACTTGTTTTTGTGCCTTGGATCATATCATAAGCTATGTGCATCTTCTATTTCATGCTCGTTTTTATACTTGTTTCAAACATACTTTATTTGTCTTTTTGTTTCATTGGAATTTATTTATTTGATGTACTCTAAAAGATCTTTTAGAGAGTATCCTTGTAACATGGCAATTTTTTCCCCTTTTGCTATGACTAAAGCAATACCTTTTGAGGATGAGTAGTTGGTATTATATCCCAACATACGGCTAATACCTAGTTTTCACATGTTAAAATCTCTCTACAAAAATAATCATTCACGGATTTAACACATATCTAACTAATCTTATTTATCAATTCTATCACCCATGAACTGTTATTGCACGTTGGTTAAGTGAGTAAAGTTTAGAATAGACTTGTAGGACAAAATTGCAACATAGTTCTACCAACTCAAATAATTCAATCTAGTACATGAAAGTTTTCAAACCTAAATAACAATTAAAAGTGCATGTGCTCAATGATATGGTCTTAAACGGATAAGAATTATGTATACTAATACAATTAAGCACAAGTAGCATAGTCTAATCACAAATCATGAATTAATCATAATTTCACATACATATAATCATTATTAGGCGATAGGGCAATCTAATTGACACACAAGCACGCAATCATCTGAAAAAAAAAATATTATTTTTATTTTTGTAATATTTAAATTTTTTTGAATTTTCTTTTAAAATTTAATCTTTTTTATTTTTTATTTTCACTATATCTATAATAAGACTGAATATTTAACAATTTAAGTACAATGCATAAATAAGAAAAACAAATATAGTAAGAATAATACACACCACCACAAAACTTGATCAACACATTTCCCTTGTTGGATCAATTGTACGTGAGCACATAGTGATGTATGTTGAAAACTGTAATTGTGAGATGGTTGAAATATTTTATTATTATTTTTTTAGGCTAATCACTGAAAATTGTCATATCATGCCTTCAAAACATGAGTACAGAACTCAAAATGAATAAATGAATGTGAAAAACAATAACAATGTGAATAAATCAATTGAGAATGAGGAAATGAATGAACTTGCCAATGTAAATGAATTGAATTGCTACAGATGAAGTGAAACAAATGGCAAGTAAAATGAGAATTAAAGATGTATTTCTGCAACATTTTATGATTTGAAAAAGGAAGAAGACTGATGGAAGTGAACAACTAGCGTAAGGATCTTTATAGTTGATTACTTCCTCTTTATCATTGATGTAGCTTGATCTTCACTTAAAACTAGATTTAAATAATTTAAATGTTATGAAGAGACCTTTGAGTTTTGTTTTAATCTAGAGAGGATATATTATGCTATGGAAGTTTGTTGAAATCTTAAGTAGTATTTGAAACATAATGGACATTCGAATATTAACGTAGATAAATTATGTTTAGAGTTGACAATCTTGAGCTATAATTTATCAAGTGAACATGGAGAGCAATTAATATACTAAAATATTTGAAGACTTGTGATGGTTGTTTTTCAAATGCCTATATTGCTTTCAAATTCTACTAGCCATACATATTACAGTTGCATCTGTAGAAAAATGTTTTTTCAAGTTGAAGTTGATCAAGATTTATCTTCGATCAACTATATTATATGGAAGCTTGAATGGATTAGTAATATTATCAATTAAGAAAGATATGGTTGAACAACTAGATTGTTCAATTTGACTAATATTTTTGCCTATAAAACCAAGTGCTTAAGTGATCATTTGAAAAAATTTCACCTTGTTATTTAATAATAATAATAACAATAATATTTGATAAGTATATTTTATTTGTCGTTTTAGTGTTGAGATTTAAATTAATAGTCAGTTCTGTAAAACTCTTATGGATACAAAATGTTGAATGCATCCTATAATTGAGGATCCATTAGGGCCAATTTATGAAGTTAGCCTTATTAAGGTAGAGAGGAGAGGTATTTGGCGGCGCCAAAGGAAATTTTGTCATGGAATTTTTTGAAATTTACATACCCTAAAAATCGTAAAGAAAAGTTGTAGAAGAGCGAAAAGGGAGAGAGGGGGGGAAGGAAATTCGGAAACGAATGTAAGGAAAAGGTGAAAAAGAAAAAAGAAATTAAAACAGTCAGATTTTTTGACATAACGGGCCTACATTACACAAATCAATAATTAAGTGGTTTAAATATTGAAACTAGAAAATTTTCTCCTAATCTACATGATTTAGCACCAACAGTGTACCGGTGTTACAACACCGATTTAGGTGATCAAAAAAGAGATTAAATGATAAATATAGTTAAATAAGTAACATAATTTACCTTTAATTCAATTTATTATACAATGTTATCTAAACTAATATTCTAACGGACTTTGCTACGAGTACATTGACGTGTACATAAGTGCGTCCATTATGGATACCCTTATGTACATGCCAATGTACAACAAGAATAATCATATTCTAACATCATTGGTGTTTGGTAACATTATTCAATCTATATTTGCAACTACGAGGAAATAATGATGGACCAAATTATTGGTATAATTATTAGTGATGGCAATAGGGGCACCCTCGCCCACCCTGCCTTAGACAGGGCAGTCGCAAGATAGTGGCTTGCCCCATTTGTCAACCTATTTATTTTTATTTTTATTATTATTTTATTATTCTTTATTTTTAACTTCATAGGACGCCACGGGGCGGAGAGTTACGCCCCCCTCTGCCAACCCATCGGGGCGGGGAAACTTGCCATCCATTAATTGTATATGAATTGGGTCGAATCTATGGGCTTATGATGACTGACCAGTCAAATGTTTGGTTTAGGCCCAACAAACCCAATCCAGATNATAATTACAATTAATGATCACGTGCACATAATTATAGGTCACAAATTTATTCACAGGTCATATGTCATGAAATTAATTGGTTACAAATTATGTCGAGGTTACGAATTAAAACTTTGATAGGTCATAGATTATTTCGTGGTCACGGATCACAATTTATCTATATAAGACACAATTTATGTCATTGGTTACAAATCCAAAAAATTATAGATCACAAGTCATATATTTTCAAATTTGATGGTCACAAATTACTTTTTTAATTACAAAATAATCAAATTTTAAGTCACGAATTAATAATCAATCACCGGGGGACCAAATAATTGGTCACTGACATCAAACACCAAATCCCGATCAACCATAGCACTTGGTCACAAACACCACCCCGGCCACAACACCATCACAACCACCGCCAACACCAACTCCACGACATCACCAGTACCACCAACAAATCACCGCCACTAACAACCACCTCCACCGTCGCCAGAATCCACCACGATCTCCACCACCAAACACACCAACGATGCCCAACCCACACCCTGACCATCGTCTCCACTGTCAAAAACCACCACAGCCACCAGGACGACAACCACTACCAAACACCCAACTATACACCATTCCCATCCTCACCAGCACCACCCAAATCCCCCCTGCCAACAGAAGCATTGCCGCTACCATCACCACCACTATCGTCCTACCAAGATCCACCTCACAGACTCACCACCACAACACACCATACTGCCACCACACCACACCGTTCACAGCAGTGTCGGCTGGCAAACGCTGAACAGAGAAGAATCGGTGCTCACATCCCCGGACAAACGAATGGCGCCGACACAACCATGATCGTCGCGATCTTTTTTACAAACTACACCACTGATTCGCGTGCAATAGCATCGGCGATGGAGTTTTGCGAATGGTAGCTGCACCTCCGATGTCGTGCCTCAACGCTTAAGGTGCCATGTCGTCGGAGAGGAGAAACTCTTTCAGAGAGACGGGAAATGTCGAAATGAGAGTGAGCTAGAAAGGGGGAAATGAATTTAGTGCGGGGGGTGGGCTAATTATAAGATTATTATTAATATTAAAATATATAATTAAAATCTAATTTATGCTTAATTGAACTTTATACCTTAATTTTTAAAAGTAATCTTCAAAGACCTGCGATTGTGTAATTTTCACTAAATTAAATTCTGATCTTCGAAATGAAAAGATAAAATAGGGATGGGCGTAATTTTCGAACCCCATGTTTGTTGAGCTTAAACCCACAAGGCCCTTATGAACTTAGTAGGTCCTCAGAAGATAAAAGCCCATATTCAGTTCACCCTCATCATTTAGGGTTTCTGTCTACAACGCAAAGTACACTCTCTTTCGACAGGTCGACCAAATTACTTTTTTACCTGGAGATCGACTCTTTCCACAAACATGGCGGAGAGAGGCGCTGGAGATCGTGGAGGCTTTGGCCGTGGATTCGGAGGCCGTGGCCGTGGAGGGGATAGGGGAGGTCGTGGGCGAGGTGGCCGCCGAGGCCGCCGTGATAATGAGGAGAAGGATTGGGTGCCAGTGACAAAGCTCGGCCGTCTTGTGAGAGATGGAAAGATCAAATCTGTAGAACAAATCTACCTACATTCTCTCCCAATTAAGGAGTATCAAATCATCGATATCCTGATAGGTCCCAGTCTAAAAGACGAGGTGATGAAAATCATGCCGGTGCAGAAACAGACCCGGGCAGGACAGAGAACAAGGTTCAAGGCGTTTGTGGTTGTCGGCGACGGCAACGGGCACGTAGGACTCGGGGTCAAGTGCTCGAAGGAGGTGGCTACTGCCATTCGTGGCTCTATTATCTTGGCCAAGCTGTCGGTTATTCCAGTGAGGAGAGGGTACTGGGGGAACAAGATTGGGAAGCCACACACTGTCCCCTGTAAGGTCACCGGAAAGTGTGGTTCTGTCACGGTGCGGATGGTTCCTGCTCCTCGTGGAGCTGGGATTGTTGCTGCCCGGGTTCCCAAAAAGGTGCTCCAGTTTGCTGGTATTGAGGATGTCTTCACGTCCTCGCGTGGATCCACGAAAACCCTTGGGAACTTTGTCAAGGTCCAAATTTTTCGCTTTACCTTTTTATTACACGTATATAATGTCTTTCAATATTTAGTTTTGCTTAGGTATGCTCTACATATACAAAGAATTTTGTATATACTAACAAAGGAGTAGATACAAACTTACATTCCATAGTTTTGTGTTCAAGACCGAATTTCGAATCAAAAGGTGTGAGCTAATTTTATTTAGGTTTAACATTTATAGTTTGGTATTAATGCTAGTATAGTACTATACATTCGCATCTTGTTGTGAAGGATTTATAGACCCCAAGACAAATTCATGTTCAATGTTCATGTATGAAATTTGTTCTGGGATGATCGAATGGAAACATCATGGATATGCTTGCATCTTCGACTGGTTCAGTTATTTTTATAATGTTACATTTCCAATCGACACAATTATGGTTTATATTGGTCTTATAAACTTTTCAAAATAATTGCAGTCTTGTCTAATCTTTTGTAAACCGTGAATGCTTTTGTGCGACGTGATATCGCGTATGTTGCATACAATCAACTGATCAAGATACAGCCTTAATTGAATACTTTATCGGAACACAATAGCTGTAGTATACATTTTTACATTAATGTGGATATCTTGTGTGGTTCATATAGGGCTCGTTAGATTCTATGATTTTGGCAATTTCATTGAATTTTGAAATGTTAAGATAAACGTAGGAATTCACTGTTTGTGACTGTGTACAATACCTAAGCTCGAGGTACCAAAATTTTTCGTACTTTGTGAATTTGCGATTGATGATAATATACACATACTCAGGGTAACATATGTACGTTCAGGACATTTTGATGCTCCTTTTCATTGTTGTATGGTTTTGTTTTCTTTTTTCCTATGTAGTGATATGCCAATGCTTGGTTATTTCCATTCCTAGGCTCTTGGAATTAGTATAGAACTCCATATCATGTCTGTGGGTAACTGATGAATTTGTTAGTTTCTTACTTCTAATTGCGATAATTGAAGAATCCTGTCCCTACTAAGGTTTAGACTACATTTCTCTGTTATTTTCTCAGTTCACCTTATAAAGTTATGTCTTTTTTGACTAATAATACATTTTCTTTTTGTTTGCAGGCAACTTTTGATTGTCTTTTGAAGACTTACGGGTTCCTTACTCCAGACTTATGGAGGGAGACTCGGTTTTCTAAATCTCCTTTCCAAGAGTACACTGATCTTTTGGCTAAGCCAACTGCCAAGGTTGTCCATGTGGTGGAGGATGCTGAGGCTGCCTGAGCTTAGAGTGCTGTGTTGTTATGGTAGGATTTTTCATTATCAAATATCAATTTAAATTTTCATCTATTTTCAAGAGAGTGATAAGTGTACTGTTTTATTGAGGAACTGTTTGTTTATCCAAATTGGACAGGATACTTGATTAAGTTTTGCCTTTATTGTAGTGATTCTTTTGGCATATATTGGTTTGTTACTTCTACGTAGGGAATTGTTTACGGTTTTTGTTAATATTTTTATTTCCCGTAAGGCAAGAAATTAGGAGATTCCCATCTTGGCAGGGAAAATGCCAAATGAACATAATGTTTGACACAAAGGATGACACCACACTCACAATCGAGGCATGGGTCCCGTGCGAATAAAATAATGCCGACCTCCCCACGTGTGCTATGTCAGTCGTTTTGTCAACCTCTATGTTCGTGTAGCGGGACCCATCCTACAGTTTTTCTCCACGTCCTGAAGCCTTACAGGTGCTGCCATGTACCAATAAGTGTGTGCCACATCCTACTCTGTAAAAGGACTGTACATATTTCACTGTACACCAAGCATGGCTCACTATGTTAAAACTCAAATAGAGTCTGATTATGATACTTGGCCAAGAAAATATCAGTTGATTGCAACGAAAAAATGGTATATCTAATTATTGCATGCCTTCGTCAACCCTTCCCTGTAAAAATAACGTTTTATAGCTTTAGCTGAAAATTTCTGACTAGAAATGGAAAATTTACTAAGCTTATGTTTGGCTGTGTTTATAAGCATCTTTAATTACTTTTTATTAACATATTTGAGTAACTCAACCCGAGTAATGTTATTTAGCATTATTGACGTTGTAACACCAGTCTAAGTTCCTATTTGGGAGAAATTAAATTTAGATTTTAATTTAAGTTAAAGTTAACAATTTTTTAATTACACATTTAATTTTTTTTTTAATTTATTAAAATTTTGATTTTAATTCTCATCAAATGGGAAATAAGTGGCACTAGGTATCATTAAATGAAAGTTATATTTAAATGGATTATATAATTTTACCTAATGTTGTGAAAATTAGACTGGACTGATTGGTTCAATCGAAAAAATCGTGAACTAGACCAAAATTCAGTCCACTCATAGTGCAAAAACCGATTGGGAAAAATGCTGCGTGTATAAATTGATGGTGGTTTTAGCCCAAAACCCTGAACCGGTTATGATTTATGCGGATTTTTGTCGAATTATTTTTTGAGAAAAAAAATTTAAGAATAAGATGAACACAGACATACCCTTCGATCAATAAAAATTACAGCAATTCTAATAAATAAAAAATATAATTACAATGAAAGAAAACTCCTGTGTGTACACACATATATGCTGGCAAGATGTATTGTATATGCGAGAGAGGAGATCCTATAAGTGAGAGAGAGAAGAGATTTGAGAAATGACGGCAAGAATTTTAACTGCCACAAAACCAAGGTTGTGATATGAAACAATGAGGAAAGTGTTTATAGGCTCGTTTAGCATGACTTTTGAAAAGTCAAAATGCTGCTTTTGGATCGATTTGATTAATTCTGTTAAAGTGTTTTTCATAGTTAAAAAAACTTTTAGAGGAAGTTAGTTCAATGTAACTTCCTCTAAAG